CTTTTCGAAAACTGTTAGTGTTTATTCAATAAGCAAGGTACCTGAATTTTTGAGAACTTAGCGTACTAATTAGACTGAGTCCTCTCGGTGTATGCAATTTCCGTGAAATTCGTTTGAATATTGAGTTCGTTTCAAAGTAAAATTGGAAAAAGAAATTGAAAGCGAGAATAGTTCGAAGTGAAACATTGGAGCACACCATTATGTACTGATTAGTGAAATCTCGGTTGCTTAATCACGTCACTCTTGCAAATCCAAGGAAAGCTTCATTAAGAACTGAAATATGTTTGTCAATGGTTTGCAGGGTGCGATTGTTTTCTTGTATGTTAAACCAGCATCTCTCGGTACATAGTGAACTCTACTAAATGAAATAAAATTTTTACCGACAAGGTGCAAGTTCTTTATTCTACAAAGTCGGAATGGGTTCAGTATCCAGATGTGCCTTGCAACACACACGTCGGTTCGATCTAGCGCCCTGAGAAATCAAGTCCCCTATCCCTCTAGTATTGCTACCAAAGCTTGTAAACTTTTCTTTCTTATCATCATTACTATATCACTAGAAATTGAAAGGAGAAAGCTTTCTAAAAGGCTTCCTGGTTCCTAGTTCCGTACTTCGTGGTGATTGCTTTCAGGGTGACAAGGTGCTGATATTTTCTCAATTCACTTCTATACTGGATATTCTCGAGGTTTATCTACGAATCCGAAAATATACGTTTAGGCGACTGGATGGCTCTACTCCCGTTATGGAAAGGTAGTCTTATTATGATTTATAAGCATAATTTCCGCCTTAGTAAATTGGCTTGTTTTCATCCTCTTTAAAATGAAGGTTGCCTGGATTTTATTGTCTTTCCATATGAACTTGAAATTTTTAGACAAGAAATGATTAACGAGTACAATAACGACCCAGAGCTTTTTGTGTTCCTTCTATCTACACGTGCTGGTGGTTTGGGTATTAATTTGACGTCGGCCAACCATATAATTCTCCATGATATCGACTTCAATCCATATAATGACAAGCAGGTACGGATAATTGGATCGCTTATGCTTTATCAATTATCCTTTTATAAATACAAATATAAAGTGTACGTATACGCGTTCATATATACATCTGAATATATATATCCGTATGTACATACATATATATGTACAGTATGTGCACATAAATATATACATATATATATATCTTTTTATTTTATAAATATATATATGTCCAAAGGTTTACCGCCTCATCGTGGCTGGGTGTTTCTGGGTGTCGGGTTGCGATGTACAGCGAGAGGATTCATCCCCTCAGCAGAGTCCTACCAAGCTGATAAGGAATCCGTCGTTTCCATGAGGAAGCCCATCTAAGAGTAAACCAATACCTGGATCCACCGCCGTCCTGATACCAAACTAGTCGCATGTTGGACAATCTTTCTCTCTGATCCACAAGGTCTGCGACTGCTTGTGCTGGTGACGACCTGGGCAAACTCTAGCCTAGCTGACCTCGGGAATCCCGGGATCCACAATGACTAGACCAGCAGGACTCCAAAAAAACGGAAATTGTGCTGGGACCCGCATACTAGTGAAGAGGGGCCATGCAAGCGTCGAAGTAGATTATGTATATACATATGTATATATACATATATATATATATATATATATATATATATATATACATTCAGGCTGAAGATCGGTGTCATCGCATGGGACAAGAAAAAAGTGTTTTCGTTACTCGTCTTGTGAGTAAAGATACTGTAGAGGTAAATTATTGGTTCTCTATGGATTGATAGGTAAGATTACTAACTGATGATGAGTAGTTGCATAATTTAGGTAGATATTCTTTGCCTTGCAAGAAAAAAACTTCAGCTTGAGAAAGCAGTTACTGTTGGAGTTGAGGAGCACACTGAAGGTTGTGTTACCAAGTAGTATAATTCCTCATCATGAAATAATTTTTCATCAGCAACGGTATTTTAGAAATTAATGGGAATTCGTATGGGTTCACGGAATCAAATGAGGAGAAACCGGATAGTGACACTTTGAATCTTCTCTTAAACAACGCTCTCAAACGAAAGTCCAAAGAGGGATCCGCGTAACAGTGAGTTAACTTCGGGTTGCTTTCAGATTTTAACCTAATTTGCCTTTGTTGTTATCGAGATGATCTCTTGGCGACTTTCCGATATCTGCAATATGTTTACGATTTACCTGTTCTGTTCAAAGCGGCAAATTATGTAAAATATGGGCACGCTGTAAATAATTCTACATGGTTCCAGTTCGTAAGTCACATGGCTTCTATATTGGTAGGCATCGCTTCGGTGACATAATGTAGAACTTCGTAACGAGATGCTGTAATCTTATAATTCTCCACTTCCTCTTGTTCATGTAACTTTCATAGTTCAATGCGAAGTTTGTAACGGTGCTTATCGTTATTATGGCAGATCTTATAGCATACCTCTAAGGGACATAGCTAACAATTTTGTTCTTAACTAGTAATATCACTTACGGAACTTTGTCAAATCCTTCTATTGTGTGCGTAAATGGGCCGTTCAGCGTTGTCATTCAGAGTTGCTGGGATATTTTATGTTATAAATATTGCCTACTATCATGTCTTTATGACAACTATATAAAACAAATAGCTAGCACCTCCTCCATAAGAATTCTGTGATCAGATTCTTCTAACTTGGCAAACAGGCCAGTAATTTGATAAGATTTCGCAAGAAAGCACGTCACAACAATTAAAAAAGACTTGCGTTTTAGCAAAAGGCCTTACCGAAAGCGTTGCGAATAGGACCACGCAATGGTAGGCTCTTGGGGACGATTGTATAAGTTAGAGTAACTTATGAAAGTTTCTAGTTCTCTGGGTATTTCTATACAACTCAGACATCATTTCACGTTGCGAGAATACCTTTAGTACCAAGATGCAATGAAAACAACAATACATTGTGCTCGCGAAACAAGCAACAATACATTCTGTGAAATCTTCATAACGACGAATAGTTGATGGAACGAAAAGAATAGAGCACTGAATGGTAGCAAAGTAACAATAACTCAATTAGGATCGAATACATGGTTGGAATTTATCATTACACCATAATTCAGTGTCTTATGAAGAGCCGTCTTTGCACGTGCAAATGGCAATAGTTGCCCAGTCACAGAAAATTTGAAAGCGAAGGTTTAGAAGAACTTCGCTTCTTTATTACTGTAACATATGCTTTCTTAGCTTATGTATCAAAATCGTAAAGAAATGTAGATATAATGGAAGTTCTGCGATCACTGAGACTAATGGAATATCAGTTTTCGTTGGAAGAACCTATATGTCATCAAAAATGGATTCACCAAAATCCCCGTCCTATACTAAACTTTTATCTCCATGTCTTTTCACATGCTCGTCTCTATTTCTCTTGTTTTCGAATTTTCGGTCACAGTGCGGGCAAATGAGTTGTTTGGGACCCAGAAACAACCGAAGTTCGTGAGACCGCCTTTCGTGTTCACGCATTCTACGAGCAGTGTCGAACACTTTACCACAGAAGCCACACCTTAAACCAAACTATTATCGCTTTATTTCTAGAACTTTGTTACTTTTACAAAGATCGTGAGATCTATATTATCTCGGGCTCATTATATAAACATATTCGCAATATTGGCACGTATACGTGATATACATGACCCATTTCCTTTCCAGCTATTTATTTCGCTACACGGACTTTCTTACCACACTTTGTTATTAAATCGATGTCTTCCCTAACGCAGATATTGTTCTACACTTATTACTTTCCAAAACCTTTTGGATGACTTTGTTCGTCCAGCTAGAGACCTTGGTAAGGAGGTGATAGTAAAACATCCTTGCGTGTATTTGAGATTAATTCCCGTTGGTATCCATAGAGCAGCACAGCCTGTTGCTGGTAGCACCTGCTCTCTTCTTCGGAAACCAAACTGGCCGTACGATTTCCATATTATTGTGGCACGGGTGTCAAAATCTAAAGGCGGTCCCACGAGGACCCATACAAAACCGGGATGTTCGATGTTTTTCTTCAATAAGACACGAGGTTGTTATTATAGAATTTATCAGGATACAATAGCTGACCTTTCGGCGGTTTCGCCTTCTTCAGAGCCCGGAAAGGTCAAATTGAGATGCCATCTATTCAGCCAAACACTATCATAACCCTAGCAGATAAAACTTAACGAATAAATTTGTATTCGCATAAGAAACAGCTTCATTTAAACAACTACCGTTTATATGTTGTAAGTATTAAGTTAGTTGATGGATAGCAGCCGCACAGAGTAATACATGGGCGAGGATTGTACCTGGGTCAGGTCATTGGATTAACCTGAGGTATGGCGCCAGGTCACGCGTGATGACAAGACACTCCTTGCGGTTCATTCTTGAATCTTTGGAATTGATCCAAAACGCTTTAAAAGTTTTATGCGCTGATGTTCTCGATTCCTGCGTGAGGATAGTGACCCTACCTCAAAATCTTCTCCGTTGCGTTCCTGCATCCTATGCGCGCCTAGTGGAGTGTTTGGTTCCAATTCAGATTTACCGACTGGGTGCTTTATGCGGACGCAGAGCGGTCTACCCGTTTCGCCAACATATTCGTCCCTGCACAATTTACAAGAGACTAGATAGACTGTACCCGAACTCATGCAATCACCGTCCCTACCATTAGGGCAAATTATGCAGTTTTTCGTTGTACATAGAGGGTTATATAGGCGGTTGCAAACTAGCTGGCGTCTTAGAGTGCCCGATGGTATTTCTATCACTCTTACGGAATTCTCTAGACCGGCCATTATTAAGCGACGTTTTATGGTTGCACTTATTTCATTTCAAATAAAGGACATAAGGAACGGAGCCTTGTTTTTGCTTGAATCATCGCTCTGGGGCGTGGTGTTTCCTCTATGCCTATGCCGAGAAGCTACAGTCGGGATGTGTTTTGCCTCGATGTGGACAACGTTTCATTTGACAGCACTAATCGCAGTTAACAATTTAGTGTACTTACATGAATGCATTGGATATATCCGTATGGCAATCAGTGATATGCCTCAGCAGCTGACTTCGCGTTTCAAATGCCTTAAACAGAAAACTTTGGTAAGTGATAAGATGGAGAATTCCTGCGATTTTTTTGAAAAGGAAGAGGTGCGAAGAAGACACAGTAGTCACCTTAGCACAATGATGACATGGAGAGATAACTTTCGCCCTCATGGATGGTAACACATCGGCATGACTCAAATTTGTGTGCCGTCTAATGTCACTTACATTACGAGCCTTGAAACCACAGAAATTGCACCTAGAGTGGAAAAATGAAATATGTTAAAGATATAATCACAATTTAACGTATTATTTACTGCCTATTCTTTTTAACGGCAGGGTATACATTGTGAAATATAACTTCAATGATGCTGAGATATTTGCAAAACTCCGGACCGCAGGTGTATGCGGTGGGGAACGAACGCGCTATTGTCCTTACCGGGGAGCAGCGGACGGGTGATTGCTGATGGCAAAAGATCGATAGAACTAGCTGAGAGACAGGCAAAACGAAGGACCCGGATGGTGTGATGGTGAAGTGCGCTGCTCCCCGGTAAGGACAACAGCGCGTGTTCGTTCTCTACCGCATACACCTGCGGTCCGGAGTTTTGCAAATATCTCAGCATCATTGAAGTTATATTTCACTATGTTAAAGATAATCAAGAAGAAATCTAATGCATAAAAACCTACGGATATCCTTCAATCCCTTCGATATGACTGACGTCTTCTGGTGGATTTGCGTGATTCGCAATATTATTAAGAATACCCTGCGGAAGCTCATCAAACAACGTCCTATGCTTCGACACTTCATCTCGCGTCTTCACCTATGCAGAAAGACTTCAATAATTTTTGAAATTAATCTTGCTATTGATTTACACCTTACGGATCTCCCTTGTGTTGCGGTCTGGAAGCCTACTAGTCATGAGGCCGTCGCGCGTATCATGATAGCGGATACGGTGTTGAAAGCCAACTAAACGCTACCGAGCACTTGCTATGAGACAGGTAGACCAGAAATTCCTTTCTTTTATGTATATTTGCATGTGGGTATGCAGAGAGTACCCATAAAAACACATAATCAAGTGACTCAAAAGCAAATGAGAAGCGGTTTGTAGTCGGCTATAACAAATGGGCCAAAAGCTGACTTCAGAAGAAGTCGATATGCAGTTTGCCAGTGTCTCTTGTGAAAAACATAGATAGAGAATTACATCATGTTGGGTGTTAAAGTTAACAAAGAGTTAGTATAATGCTTAACTGCAGACACCCTATATCAAGAAAAGAAGGAGAAAAAGCCAGAGCGTAGTGCGCTAGAAGTATACTTATTTGGTTCATTTGACGATTAGTGCGATATAGGAGGTACAGTATTAGTCCACTACGGTCAATGATGTAATCAAACCATAAAATGGTGAAGAAAAACCGTAATATATCTTAGCACTTTCATCACGATTCAGTTGATGGCAGAGAACATCATTCAGGTTATTTTCAACAGAGAGATCAGACTTCTGAACATAATCTTCTTTTGGAAAATGTAGAAGCTCAACTTAATGAAAGAAAATGTAAAAATTGATTGCGTATGTTATAAATGAATCTAAAATACGACAAGTATTAGCGATGCTTAATAAACCTACCGATTCCCGAGAATGTGTAGGCTGCTGAGACCGAGCGATCGACCAATTAGAATGACCGATACGTGATAAAGAATCTTTGGAAGCGGTTGCTTAAACAATTGCTTAGGCGGTCATTATATAGATAAACTAGACATGTAAAAAAATAGAAAGCAAGAAACCTGCAGGTCACACTTGTGTACTCATAAGATTTAAGCTTTTAGAATTGTATAGTGCTATTTTTACAAACCATTACACTACTATTTAACTTCTAATTACTACCTAATCTTTTTTCATGATAGATTACTATGTGAAACGCAACAAGTATGCTGATGAGCAAACTCGGAACCCCCGATGGGCTTCGAACCAGCGATAACCCTTTCCTTACGATTACCTTCATGTGAGCTCCCGTCAAAGGTAACCGTGGGTTTGAGGACCAACTGTGGTCCCGAGTTCTACCCACATCAAAGCATCGATGTAGTTATTATCACTATATTTATTGCTATTAATATCTTCAGTACTATTACCAATGTTTCTGCTACGTATATTATTAACAAATTTGTTACACATTATTAACATATTAATTATAATTCGAGTACATCCGGGACAACATCCGAAAACCTAAGAAATATGTCAACCATTCCACTATCAAACCCCAAGACTCCAGCCAATTTTGGGAAAATGAATTCAATTCCGATCTTTTGATTTTTTCTATCTAAACTATTTATAAACGAATGGAGCGCATTACGTTCGGCACTTCTTGTTTCACAATGCTATCTACAATTTCATCGGATGGGGTCACCGGATGGTGTAGTGGTGAAGTGCGCTGCTCCCCGGTAAGGACAACAGCGCGTGTTCGTCCCCCACTGCATACACCTGTGGTCCGGAGTTTTGCAAATATCTCAGCACTTCATACGAGTTATATTTCACAACATACCCTGCCATTAAGAAGAAAAAGGCAGTAAATAAAAAAGACTACTAGCATTATTCTTTCGACTTGGGAATCTACAGCGTTAAATCATCATTCATCCTTTTTTACGTAGCGACCAGGTTTCTAACTTATAAACTTAAAACAGAAAGAATCGTGGACTCTAAGGTTGGGATGGAGTCGCGTGTTATTTGTTTTCCTCACTACATCTTCGGTGCTCTTCGAAGCCTCCCGAACCCTCAAAAAAAATCAAAGCCTATTCCCTCCTGCTCAACTCTGGAACTAAGTAGTTCATGATGATGATTTCTCCAGCTAGATAGACGTTGGTGGAGCGCTCAGAGATCCTCGTTCCATTGAGCGAGAGTGGGGATACGTAACCAATCCGTTCCTCATGAACATTGCCTTTGGGAGATTTAGTCGAAGACCAGTCTTTCCACGCCTGGCTAAAGCTCGAAGTTACGAAAAACACGTCGTAAGCAGACTGAAGATGGTGTAATTGCCAACCACGGACTTCCACTCCCGTAGTTTCATCCCAGTATTCGTATGACCCGATGGTGGCAGCAAATAATTTTGGTTAGATGGTACAGCCTTGTCTGACCCTCGTCTTCACCTCGATGTTAATAACGTCGTAAGTTGGTGGTATTATTGCGAAATTTTTGTATGCCTCACAAAGATTCTTTATATACGGAGTAGGGACACCCCAGGCTTCCATCACATCGATAAACGTGAGACAGAGAAATCTCTTGTACTTTCACGATACTTCTATGAACGTGCTATCGTGTGGATGTGGTACATCGCATTGAATCTTTTTCGAAACCTTGCTTCCTCACATAGCGTTCCTTCCCCTGTGTTCTGTCAATTTTGAGCGCTTCTGGAGACAGACGTCTCTTCGTGACTTTCGAACTCTCAGTTTTCACAGCGCTAACCTGAAAATGTTGAATGAGCCGATCGTATTCTTCGTCGATGTTATAGAAAACGGTATCTTCCCAACACCCGACTAATGAATTGAATAAATCCATCTTTATGGTGGTCTTGGGACGTGGCTTTTTGAATCTTTCGACTTTTCGCCTTTCCGCGATATATGAAATCTTGCACGAAGGAGGCGATAATATGATTCCGTATAGAATTTTGGGAAAACAGCAACCTAAGTTAGGCAGAACTTTTGATTTACTACGATGTGGTCTAATTCTTTACGGTATCCTTGATTGGGAGATTCTCACGTTCAGTGTTCAGAACGGGACTTCTGGAATTGCAAGTTATCACGAAAGCTCTTGGTCGTCATGAAAAACTCGGATAGGTGTTCATGCAGCTCGTACTATTCCAATCCGTGGGGCCAAATGTGACGTTCTTCAGAAGTACTTGTTGGTTCATTCTTAGCATTAACCTATTCCGCCCCGCAGCCGTTTTTTTTTTGACTGGCACAATAGAGTATGAGCAATTTTTCGTTCGCTGTGTACTTCCAGGTTTTTTGAAATGAAAAATTTTCCTCAATAACTAGAGGATTTGAGGAATTTTGAACATCACAGTATTGTTAAAAAGTACGTTAATGTTTACAATGTTGTACCATAGTGCCTATTGCAAACGCAATGCTGTCGGTATTTGTAAGTGCTTCGTAGTTCATGTTGAATTTATTTCTTGATTTTCATACTCCACAATCTATACAGTAGCCACAGCGACTAAAATGGTATAATACTATAATGCTGTTCAAATTGCCAGTTAATTAACTCTTTGTAAAAAAAGTGTTTTGTTAATGTAGCGGATGTTTCTTCTGGTCTCACTCTTAGGATTTTGATCTGACTTCGATTAGCTATTGAATTAATATACATAGTACGGTAAAAAACTATGTAACCTACAAAACATCAATATGCACACTACAGTGTCTATACAGTCGTTTGGTCCAAATTGCTATGGACACTTTAGCGTTCATAGTGAATGGTCTGCGCACGGGGCAGAATTAGTTAGCCTCTCTAATAATGACCTAAAAAAATCGATGGTCTTCTCTGTAGAACTTCTCCATGTCCGCACACAACGTGTCCAATTTGTCTTCGCCATAGCATGATGTTTGCGCGTAGACGATGAAGATTGTCAAAGCCGGTATTGACCCACACCTCCTCAACCTTAAACGCCCAATTCGGCTCCTTAGTTGCTCGAATGAATCGACGTTTATGATCAAACTCGTGTTGACAAGAACGCCGACGCCGCCGACTACTCTGCTGTCGCATGTTCCGAGAAACAGTTCTTCTCCGGTGTCATAGACGGCGTTGAAATGCTGGCGTCTCCTCGTCTCGGCCAGGCCGATGACATTTCTCCTTGGCTACATGATAAAGTCCTTCATCGAGGGCTCTGATCCAATTGAGCGTGTTTCGTACGTACAGATTGCTGCCCTAACCCTTCCAGATTTAGGCAGCCTAGGATGGCTTTGAGATGTTGTAAAGCTGTAGTACTATTAAAACCGTCCGAATAGGCCGATGGTTCTGCAGAATACCCACTGCTCAAGATAGGATCTTTATCTGAATGCGGATGGATATGTTCTTAAAATACTTAACGACTACTTTTAATATTCAAATATCATGGGGCACGTGTGGCGCAACGGTCGGAGGCGCCCTGTGACACACATATGAGATCGATCCCCGCATCCATGGCCCGCCAAGTCATCTATCCTTCCGGGATCGGGAAATTGGTACCAGACTTGTCTGGGAGGATAGCAGCACTGGCTCGACACATCGGTAGGCCACCGCGAGTCATAGTAAAGGCCAGATATGCATTCAATCACCTCCAATGATTCTTAATGAAGCCGGGTGTATGGCGCATCCCTCAGAGATTGCTCAACGCCGAGAGCTTTATCCTTTTTTGTCCTTTATTCCAATATCTGTTTCCATTGCTATTTTAATCGAGGCTGTAAGTACATACACTTCAGAATTCAAAAAACAATGAAAACTAAACCTCGAACAGGTTGTAGCAGAGATAATTCGCTCGGCTGTGCAGGAGAATCTGATTCAGCTACTGTCATCGGCTCGCATTCACTAATCTAAAATGTTAACGCATTATATTTGACACAACAGGAAAGTAGCTAAGTCCAAGTCACCATAATATCCACCTAACAAAGCTTAAACTACAAGAATTCCAAGGATTTACAACTTTCTTTAAGGAAAAACGTTTTTCATCAAACTAGTGCACTGGTGAACTTCACGAAAAAAAAAACCCAACGCAGAACACAAGAAAAATGTGGTCAGGCAAAATTTTAGAAAAAACAAGAAAAAAAGTATATTGAAAACTATTCCAAGAAAACTCGATATTCTATGTACGAATGAAATCAGCACAAAGAAAAATGGACTGTATACTGACAACACCTCATTGTAATAAACAGTGGAAGGCGAATCCAACGCAACTTCATCAGATAGTCGCTGTGACAGACCGTCGCTCGCAGGAACTAGAGTATAAAGTAGTGGGATTGTCAGATAATGTGAGCAATGGCGAGAGTAATCTGCACTACACCATAATTCCAAAATTGTAAAAGAGAGGTTAAATCTCAATGTTGAAAACAACAACATACAAAGCAGCTTACTTCTCGGATTTTTCAGTGACACCTCGCTAAGGGATGAAAACTGTGAGGCTATAGACGTTTCACTGCCAAGTTCATTTTCATCAAAACCATGAACGTTATGACCATTAAGAAAAACAGGTTCAGTGATTGAAGCCGTTTTCAAACTATAATAGAAAAGGTAAAGGACGACGGAACAGAACTTGGTGCACTTCTTTATCAAAAAAAAAAAAAAAAAAAAAATCAGTGGAACCAACTGCTGTTCACCATCATCGGTAACTGACGACACGGATCTTCATGTTTTATAAAGATCCTAAAGAACTTCTTCATAGATGGAAATCCTTTTACAAATTCACTATCGATCCATCCAATGCTACGATAGGAAATACACAAAAACAATAGTACAGAAGTGAAAATTCCAGATAAAGATATTGTAGTGGAAATCAGAACAACTCTCTAAGGCTTATCTTCTCTACCAAAAATCGTTTTTATGGAATAAAAAACACTCTACACTGATTTTTCACGAATACTATGCTTTTATATACGATGCAGGGTTACTTTATGCATTTGTGTTTTGTTTGACTGAGTCGTAATAAAATTGTATTTTTGACAAATTTTACAGGATAAGAACTGAGACGTCAAAATGATTATTTCGAGAAATTTACTTTTATGAAGTCAAAATCGGCCGCAGTTTAGTGTAGTGCAAACGGCTCGAAATACTAGCGAGATAAGTAGTCGAGAAATGTTAATACATACACATTGCAACACTTGCCTAAAAAAATCCTGAAATCGATCTTGAGGATGAGGAAGGCCCCATACGCCCATCTGATAGACGATAATGAATTAAGGGAAACAAATACACTCATAACTGTTGCATAACTGGCCCAAAAAATCGTTATAGGTATCTCGATTGTGTGGTGGGTCTAAAAAATTGGAAAGTCGAGAAGACTTGACAAAAAGATGCTGCACGACTTCAATGACAATTAAAGATTTCGCCATTTTGGGAAGCTGTCGGTGCTTCTTTAGCACAACTAGGACCCAATTCTCGGCCGTGTTGTGAAGTATGACAGTATGAAGTAAGAAATGGATAGTCAGCGTCAAGCTGCGACGATCGACTCCGCGGTTGCACCGCGATGAAGCGGCGCAGCACTTCCCAAACCCGGAATTGCACCATTGCACCAGAACACCATTCTGCTCGTTTGGTCATTTGCTGCAAGTTTACCCCATCAGAGCGTCCGGTATCCACGTGCAGCGTTTACAGCGAAGATGCCCAGCAAATAGACGAAATGCGGTGAACAGCTAAACCTCTCATTGGGTCAACAGAAAAGGATCAATTTTCTCCACGATAACGCACCGCCATACGCCGCACTATCAACGATGCAAAAGTTGAACGAATGGCCTACGAAATTCCACCTAACCTACCATATATACCGAACCTCCCGCCTACCGATCACCACACCTTCAAGTATCTCGATAACTCTGTGCAACAAACGTTTCAGAAACCAAACCGAGGTCAGAACTAACCCCCAGAATTCCAGAGTTTCACGTAACCGGATGGATGAATGTTCCACATTGGAACATATATATATATACATATATGTATATAGGGAGCGGATAGCATAGTGTTAGTGATGTCCGTCATCACCAGCATGGTGCTAGTTCGATTCCGCCCCGGGTGAAGCAAGCCCCTCATCCCTCCGGGCTCGCGAAATTGGCTCCGGACTTGTTTGGACAAAAATCACTCTTTGCAATCTAATTGAGAACGCTCCAGCCCGGCTATCTCAGTACTCCAGAGGGAACTGGTCGACCAACACTCTACGACATTACAGATGAAATGGAAATCCTCAAACAGAAACCGAAACCACACGTAAAAGTTGGAAGATCTTCGTGGACAATGGACATGATGAAACGAATCGAATGTGAAAAGTGCCAGGATCCGCACAGTTGACGTGAAGACGGATCAAATAAAAAAATAAAACAAAATATATACATATGTATGTATGTTATGTATCTATACATGTATACATATATATACATATATATATATATATATATACATATTAGTTATCGAATATAATATCACATAAGCGTACTGACATAAGCGTGGAGGTTGCTCTGCTATATTACCCAACATGAAATTTCCCGACCTCAACATAATTCCATCTCTTTGCTATAAAACAATAACTTAAACAATATATATACGCAAAACTTACTCCTACCTATAGCTTCTTTTGTCTAGTTTTCTTGAGTTTGAGCGATCTGAGCCTCTCAGACGAACGTACGACACTTTTACTTTTCTATTCTTAAGTGAGGACGGAACTGCTTCTGGTCTGAAGAATTAAGTGAAAATGCATCTCCATCTTTATATTTCTTATCGCGAACCTACATTCTAACAACACTTACATTTTTTTAGCATCGCCACACACACCTCGTTTCCGATGATATAAATATTTGGAATATTCAAACAACTGACTGAAAAAAGAACTTTTTAGTATAGAGAGATCTGAACAGAAAGGGAATAACACAAACATTAACCTGCAGGGCAAACATAATATATGTGCTACACCTTTTTCAAGTGAAAACCTAAGTGACTTTAAGACATCAAATTTGAATACGGACTCTTTTTCCATGACGAATTCGAACTTCCTAGAAATAGAAAGTTATAATAGGAGAAAGTAATACAGATTCACATTGATAGAAATTAAGTAGAAGACGACAACAAGTAAATTATACAAACTCTGGCCAATGGCAAATCCACTCAAGAGCTTCCTCCTCGAGGAAATGTTCCTTTATTACATGAAGAAGTTGCAAAACATTGTCTGTGATGTTATTCCAACGACGCAGCTTCTTCTTGCATGACAAAATTGGGCATCTCGGAGATCCACTGAAATTAGCCAGAAAAAGACATAAATGCCGTTTTAGTAGCGGCAAAATTTATGGTTGCGACACGAGGCCCGAGATGCATTGTGTGATACGCATACATTGAAGTGGGAGGAGGTTGGGAGCGAAATGGACAAATTAAGCTGTATCAAATTCATTTCCGCTCAAGTGGTTTGTTTTGCTACACAGACCTTTTGCACTCAACTGTAAATTATCCAACATAGATGTTATGTCCGGTGAAACCTATGGAAAGGTGTTCTCTACACTCTTTTTACACCATCCGCCACCAAAACCACCGTGCTCAGCATTTCATGCATTCGATTCGTTTCTCGTATATATCATCTACAAAGGTCCTCAAACCTTTCATGTATGAGTTCGGCTGCTTAAAAGTTGTCGCCTTCTTCAGTAATGTCGTTGAATGCTGGTCCAGTCCATTCTCCCTGAAGTCCTAAAAAAGCTGGTCTAGAGGGTTTGCACTTGGATTGCAGGGAGTGAAATGTTCTCAGACAAGTCTGGTAACAACCTGGAGTCCGAAGGGATCAGAAGATCGGTAAGTCCACGGCGAAGTGAAAGCGTGTGATGAGTAAACGGCAATATCACCTCTGCGCTATTCGACAAATAGATTTCTATATAATTTTAAGTGCATAGTAGAGCTTTTACTGGCCGATATCCGTCACAAATATACTGGCTACGCTAATGAGTGTAGAAAGTGCACCAAAAAAGCTCTGCAGAGCAAAATAAACAACTTAAAATAAAATGAGCGATATGTATCTTAACCCAGCCGATACAATCAGTAATGCGTGAGTCATATGTAACCGAGCTCATAAGAGACACGTAGGTTTTCCTTGATATAGCCGCATGGTTTGCGATAACCGGTTTTGCGCTTCTTAGGTAATCCCCGCTGACATGTGATTGCTGATAGAACCGTTACAGTGACAAACTGGTTTGAAGGAAAGGAAAGTAGGCAGTAAGTAAAACGGTTAAGATTGTAAATACACACAATTTGTTTATTTCATTCCGTTTCTATTTTTAAATGTTCCGACATCACACTTTGAGCTGATGCCAGCACATACTGCATTTGATTTGTTTTCTCGCATTTCGTCACTCATAAGGGAACCCAGAAAAATGTAGTAGCAACCACCCTACCTTGGAGAAACAGGTGGAGACTTGGTTGGTCCAGTGCTGGGCCGAACCAGGGTAGTACAGGTAATGAACGGTATGAATATATATACACATATGTATATACGTGTATTTCATGAATATATAAAGAATAGCACATATATATTTGTGCTTTGTTTGTCACCAAAACAATTTCACATAGGAGTGAAACATCTTGACAATAACTGTACGAAATTTGCGTTGTAAGAACTAATTATACGTTCGTAATAAAATAAACACATTACGAATGAAAACTCACGAGTAGTGTTCTTCTGTAGGATGATATCGTTTGGCGTGTTGCACTAACTCGTTTGGAGTAGGGAAACTTCGGTCGCATTTCACACACTGTAGATTTAATACTCCACCACGTTCAATAGAATTCATGAAAGACTTCGAAACATGAAGGAAAGGAAACTCGTCGGCGAGATGCTCATTTTTCCTAGAAAAGAAATTCAGCAAAACGAAATTGGGAAAGTATGCTCGTGTAGTGTCACGGAAATGAAGCAGAAAATACCCTATTTCCATCGCTAGCTCATAAGCTTGTTTATCTGAACTGTGACGGGATATCATATGTGCAATTTGTCCAACAGCGTTCTTATATATAAAGCTGGGACGCCACGCCGAAATGCAACTCGATAGAGGACATCTTACACTAAAATTATGATCGGTTATCAAAGTAATACCACGTCACGGACTAACGATACTATCCAGAAACCTTGCTTCATCGCACATCACTTTAAGGGTTCTAGTATGCCACATACAAGAAAAATGGTTAAGAACTACTATCAAATAGCTATGTGTTCTTTCTCATAGGTGGAAAAACTTTACCGCAGTACCACACTTCACTTTTTTCACACCCGTCTGTTTAAAATTCCATGTACACAGCAACTGGTACATTACTGTGACATGACGGCGATAAATAAATTTTTGTACGGCAACTAATAAAGTGAGATCAGTGAATGCTTGACATAGTTCGTAACCAACTAGGTAAAAATAACACCAAAAACAATCAGGTAATTAAATCTAAATAAATTTAAGTAACATACCCCTCATTTATACTTCGAGACTTCTTCGTCTTTATTGCCGCAGCTGAAGGAGAAACAAGGACACATCTTCCTTTCCGCAGACCATCCCGGTAGCGCCCGCAAACGGCAATGCAAGTAGCCCAGTGGAGACGGAGATTTGATATCTTTGGAAATGCAGCTCTTTCACAAGACGAACATCGCAATGAACCATCCTTCAGAAATTCGATTAGTAAATTAAAAATTTGAAAAATGAATTAAAGTTAAAAATCAGACTAGAATTTTGAAAAAAACTGAATAAAAGAAGTGGACATACTCCATTATTAACTAATGTCATTATCGGTAAACATTGAGCCTGAGTGGAGCATAACAGAAAGAAAGGGCAAAAGTACTTAAGTAGAATGGCATAAGCTAAAAGACTGCACTAAAGATGCGATTCAGTCAACTCAATGGGGAACTATAGACAAATTTTTAAAATGAGCTAGAAAATTGGAGTGATAACCAGAAGTGTTTCCAGCCGTTCAGAAGTGTTCATAAGCTCTCTTAAGTAAATAACAATGTCCTAGCTCCTACTAAACGCCTATTTTTTTCTCATGGAAAGGTACGATGTGAAGCTCAAGCACAAAGATGCTGAGATATGAGCAAACTTGGAATCTCAGTTGGGCTTCGAATCCGCGATTACTCTTGTCTACTATATCTAGGGCTATACACTATACCCATCAATCGAAACGCTTTCTTCGTCTTTTTCTCAGTCAGTTTTTTAGATTATCGATACTCCTTTTTAATTCTTACCGTTACATTCTTATTACACTTCGGTCATATCTGGGCACATTTATGGTTGTACTCCTGCTAACTAAACTCCAACTGCGGAATATCATTGCAGAATATGGAACATATACTACGAGCAGAAATAGTATTGAAACAAAACAAATGATACCTTTGTAGGTTTAAGAAGAAACTTCAACGGATTCAATTTATCGTCAACCGATATGTGGTATCTGAAAGTGCACAATACTCAAGGGATAAAAAAAGCAGTCTAAAAGAGGTTGTTCTCGGACCTCTTTGCGTTAAGAACCCAAGCAGCAGATGGATCGCTATGATGAAATTTTACTATATGGGCAATCATGCATTCCTCTTTTATTTCATCACTAGAAGATTCTGGAACGCGCAATCCCCGACCACCACGGACAGCCTACAAAAGAGTCGCTCTAATATCTAAAAAAAAGCTCATCAAAGAAAGAATACAAAAGCAAGAATTTTGACGCTCACTGACCTTGCAAAATGGACATTCACTGCGAGATAATTTCGCTAGTTGCTCTGTTTGGTCCGTACTTAGCGGTGGAGGAGGCGGTCTGCAAGCATCGAAGACTAGAATGTACAAACACAATCCGCCAACTAATTCAGACGATCTTTGAGAGCTGAACCTTGTTTTCTACAGTTACATACAAAAATATGTCAGCAAAGGGAGTAAAAGTACGCGTACCCGCTCCAAAAAAACTTTTTACGCACGGCCAATTTATGCAACTCTACATTGCTAGGGTTCGAGTCTGAACACTCCTCACAGCACTCCAGCTCTAAATCACACATCACAATAAAAGCACAATATAGTTGAACTGCAACTAAAGAAAAGGGCAAAAAATTCAACTGTTAACTTACCGCTAGAATTGGAAATACTCGATGGCAGATCAGTGGCGGTGGGTTCTAAACTAAATGTGTTAGCAACGAGGCCGCTACTATCTTCCATAGTTGGTTGCCCGGAATCACTAAATTGTCGTCTTGTACAGAAAAATCTGAAGGATCTTGAGGTTTTTGAGATACATCTTTGCTCACGTGGGTACAGTGTGGCCTCCAAAATGGGGGACGTGCTCCTCAAACTCTCCAACATTAGAACCAAGAGTTTCACACGCACTGTTCTCCATAGGACAACCTAAAACCGCAGTAAAATTAATAATTTGTGCAACTGAACATAGAGAGACGTTACGAAAACGCCATAATGAAACGGCCAGTTAAGAAATATCTTGCGCAAACATACCATTTAATGACGATGGAGTACAGTTTATCTCATAAGACTTCATTGACTGTGTAGTAACATCGAAAGCACTCTAAAATAAAATCATGTAACTATGTCTTTCAAACAATCTCACCTACAAAACTCCTAATAACGTTACTAACGCATTCACGACAACATGCACTGCTCGCAGTCCATATGATGCGAAACAATGGTTGCTTTCAATTTCAAATTACATAGTTACAACATTGTCGCTCTCAACAGTTTTAATCCAACCACAATAACGCTGAGATGTTTGCATAACTTGGACCCCAGGTCAGATCAAACCGCGATTACGCTTTCAGTGAAGTCTTTGTTTTGTCTTTCTCTGTCAGTTTTCTACCATAACGGTACCATCAGCAATTAATCACCAACGGGAGTAATCTGGGGTGCATAAATGGGCACTGAATCTAGTTAAGCTTAAGCTAGAGTCGAAACCACAATGAGTAATGTTCAATGTATAATCAAAATTATTATAATCACAATGTTTTAAATCAAATAAAAGTCACTAAGATCTACAGGAATGCATTGCTTTTTACTGCAAAACAATGAGATTCTGATTATTTGGACCTCACAAATGCTTTCCCAGAGGCTCGTTTCTCGAGACTGAAAGAACGGTATTTTCCTCACGAAACCATCGCATTTTAAAATGTATTGTTGCTGTCCGCTGCCGCATTAGGGTTGAAATTTTCGAAATCTATGCATTCGCTGTAATTGTTTGACAATGAAGTTTTAAGTAGGTTTAAAAAAGAACAACGGTTCACTAAAAAAGTTTGAAGCTTCAAAAAAAAGTCGTGAAAAGTTTGCTCTATAAGTTTTCCAACTCCTCAGATTTTCAAGTACTCTTCTTATGAAGAAGTTCAAAACAACTATCGAAAAAAGTAGCATCGCTGCGAATGTATTGAAAAATAAATCTTCGCCTACCTCCTCGCCATTTGATGCTGCTAGCGATCCAGTGGTTGGATTATCTGAAAATAGTAATAAACAAAGTTAAACTTATTGTACTTATTGAAACAGATCTGCAGCTATTGTTTACTCTACGCTTGCTAACGTCAATGTATCTGTGACAATAAGGCCCTTAAAATTTAGTTGGTTATTGAAACCGATGCAAACCACACAGGAATGCACCCCGCATTACAATTCTATGTAAATGCAGAGTTATGAATGAGGATTTCTAATTCACTTTAAAATGAGGACTCTGTGAATTGAACAAGACAGCGTTCTATTCACAATATAGAACTTTACTAAGTACAACTTACTAGATTTCTGGGATGAACCATCAGAAAAATTGGAATTTTCCGCAGTTTGTCGTGAAATCGAGCGTTCACCGACTGTAGAATTAATTCACTTTAAAATGAGGACTCTGTGAATTGAACAAGACAGCGTTCTATTCACAATATAGAACTTTACTAACTACAACTTACTAGATTTCTGGGATGAACCATCAGAAAAATTGGAATTTTCCGCAGTTTGTCGTGAAATCGAGCGTTCACCGACTGTAGAATTCCTTTTTGACCTAAAAGACGATAAAAATGTAGAAAATGGCGGAGTACAGCAGCTCATCACAGAGTGAAACAAAAAGGAACGCAGAACATACAAAGGAAGCAAATCCGATAGCGAATGATATCTTTGAACAGAACTTGTGTAACAAACCACTTGACACATCCTACTTTCCTCAGAGCTACCTACAAAAAAAAATCCTGCACACAAAACCATTCGAATACTTGAGAACTGGCACCATGGCACTAAGTAAATATAAACATACAGGAATCGGTTTTCTCTAAGTGTGTAACAAACGATAACATCATCCAATAACGCTGTAGGTTCAATCAACTTAAGTTTACCATAGAATCAAATCAAAAACAAAACGCGTGCTTGTAATTTCAAGCTTACTGTTACCCCTTCATGAAGCGGTGGTGTAGTTTTTCAAACAGACAAGTAAATTTTAGGTAAAAGAGAAGAAACAAGAGCAAAAGAGCAACAGAGCACCATGAAACTGATTGCAATGCTTGTCAATATCTGATAGGTAGTAATAGTTGAAGCAGACCGCACATGGAATCTTCAGTGAGTTATCCAGCTAAAAAATAAGTTATTTAATTAAACGCATCACCCGACGCTGTTGTTATGTTCACAAATACTCACCTCACCTTCGTGACTCTGGATATGTTTCAGCATGAGGGTTTCGACGGGCACGTCATTCGGCGAAAATCTCCATGTCACTGCATAACTACACACAGGACAGGTAATTGGATTACCATCCGCACACCGAGAATCGACAGTAGTCTGAAAAGAAAAATATGTGTAAGTGATAGAAGGCGCAATAACGGCAAAAAATGTTGTTCCCTTTTTCATAGCAATCGCTAGGTTGTTATTCAGCATGTGTTTACTTCCTTACAAATATGACACATACAACACAACAATAGCTGACGTTTCGGTAGTATCGCCTTCTTAAGAGTCTGGAAGGGTACACTAAAATGTAACTTACTAAGTCAAACGCTTCAACAGCACAAACAGAAAGATGAAAATCCGGACAATGGTTACACGATCACCGGATTTTCGAAAAACATCTTTCATCTTTCTGTTTGTTCTGTTGAAGCATTTAACCTAGTAAGCTACATATTAGTGTACCCTTCTAGGCTCTGAAGAAGGCGATACTGCCGAAACGTCAGCTGCAGTTGTGCTGCATGTGTTATATTTGTAAGGAAGTAAACGTGTGCTGAATAACAAGCTCACGACTGCTGTACAAAAGAGAACGACAGATTTATAATCCAATGCCGAGGTTAATAGAAAGTCGATCTTGGGAACAAAAATATTATTGAAAACCTACCTCCGTGCTAAGAGTAAACCCTATAACAGCACATCTTCGGAGAGTTGTACACCATTCAGTGCTACCTATACCCACCTTAACAGCATTGCACAGTAGATCCCGTCCTGTGCTATTACAACTGTGTTGTTTACTTTTCAAACCATCTCTAGTTGAAGGAGCCTAAAAATTAGCAAATATCATCCACAAACGAGATTTGAAAGCATATCCTGATTGTAGATGACCGTAGACGCATAAATATTCACCGATGTGCTTATAAATCACCTGTGGTAGTGGCAGGTATTCAAACAGCAACGCATCTATCAACTACCGCAGCACCTTTAACTAGCACTATAATGTTACATGGGCATGTGTGATGCAGTGGTCGGGGGCGTCCTATAATACTCATGGGATCGATTCGCGCCCCCTGGCCCACCAAGCCACCACCTCCATCCCTCCGAGGTCGCCAAATCGTAACCGGATCTGTCTGGGAGGACCGAAGCACTGGTTCGATACACTGACCGGCCACCGCGAGTTATTGTAAAGGCCAGACATGCATTCAATAATCTCCAACGATTCTTAATGAAGTTGGATGCATGGCGCATGCTCAGGGATTGATCAACGCTGAGAGCTTTACAATACATATGCATACACTTGTCTATACGTACATTATATATATATATATGCGTATACGTACATGTATACATATATATGCATATATATATATATATATATATATATATATATATATACACAAGCCCATTGACTATACAAGATCGGCAGGGTACTCCTATAGAAAAACGAAAGCATTTGAAACACCGAGGAACCCACCTTTCTATGCCTCACATGTCGCTTATACTGGTCAACCAATTCGTCCCATCCCGAAATACTGTCTGAGGCAGCAAAAGGGATTTCTTCAAAGGAACTGGAGGAACAAGGTATGGAGTGTTTCGAGTCAATAGAGATGTCCATAGAACCTTTGGTCACCCTATGGAAAACATGTCAATTTCTTTCCAGTAATTCATAAAATACGTTAAGAAGAACACCCTAAGCCAATAAAGTGTACAGAATCCTTAAAATCAGTTTGTCGTAGAGTTTGTAAACCGCTTCGTCGTACAATACCATGTGTTGTCCCCATTCACACATTCTCAAGACATACAGTTCTCGCGGACATGAAACTTGCTTGCGGATGTTTCGCTTTCACGTTAGAGAAGCATTAGTGTTTTTTCGAGAAGAATGAGTGCAGATGAACTGAAGATCCAACTTCTGATAACGGAATTGCAGTCAGAAATGTGAGGGATACAACCGTTTTGACATGTGGATGAGCCGCTCGGAAGTCGTGCCTGCCTGAACAAGTCTTTCGTTGTTCCTATGTTACAATTCGTCATAGTCATGGTCGGGTTTGTATTTTGTGGTGCCTGCGAGCTTTGGTACCGTCTTGAGGAAGTTCAACTCACCTTCTGCTAAAGTCGATTGAGGCGAGCGATGAACACGTTCATCTGTTTTCTAGGAGAGCTTGTTTTGAAAAGATACTGTAGTGCTCTTGGGATCAACTATACAATTCTGCTCACTCATTTCCCCCTGACTTCCCTTACCAAAACGAGGCTCACATACGCTTAACTGCTAAATTTGGTTTTATGTTGTGTTGGACGCTTGTAATTAGGATATCGTCCAAGTGTTCTGTGATCCTCCCAAAGGTTTACTGCCTCATCGCAGCTGGCAGGTGTTCCTGGGTGTCAATCCTCCCGGCAGGGTATTCAAAGCTGAGAAGGAGTATGGCTTTTCCATAAGGAAGGCTAACTGAGAGTAAACCAATATCAGGATCGACTACCGTCACGGTATTATAGTCGCCTGGTGCCAGATCTCTCTCTGATCCACAAGAGTCGCGATGCAAAAGTAAGAAGCATACAGGAGACACTCATCAACAGATTGGTCTACCATTTCTGTTATATTATCATTCTAGTATTGTATAATAAGCGGGTGGCGCTGTGGTTGCTATGCCGTTTATCACGAGCGCTGTCTTGGTTTGATTCCAACACGGAATCCCACTGGTACTACACCTCTTTGGGACAAAGTTGACCTCTTGTAATCTCTGTGGAAACGCTCTAGCGGGTACCTGAGAACTTAAAAGTGAATCGACTTGCTATAAATCAACGACATTCATGAAGAAAGCGGAAATTCTCAAGCAACAGCCAAACCAACACGCAAAAGTTTGAACAGACTTGAAATACGTGAAAAATCTCTATCTGCCGAAAAGAAGAAGGAGGAAGAACAGCGAGAAATATAGGAAAAAGAGGACAATGATAACGAAAAAAAAATCGTGCAAGTGAAATTTGCTAATGTGTACGCAATATATTAATCCTATAAAACCTTCGAAGCAAAACACTTCGCTATAGAAGAGCTAGTAATTTGTGGAAGATTTTTGCTATTAAATCTGGTTATTTCGAACCATTTGGTCGGACAATTTCATTCAAACTACGCTCGTTTCAGAATCAGTCAAGTAGCAGAACTAGTTCGTTTCCGTGTGAATCTGGAAAAATCTGGAATACTGCGACTGGCAATTGTAATTAAACCCACAAACCAAAATCGACAGTAATTTTAATATCTATAGTACATGCCACGGATCTCCCTCATATGAGAGATCTCGAGCTAGTTAGTCGCGAGGCTACGTGGCGCGTCCCAAGGTGGCGGATAGGGGGTTAATCGCGGACCAAAAGCGACTTCCCTGAAACGCAGGTGGATCCAGGGGATGGACTCCCTGTTTCTGCTGCGCTGATTTGGCACATACTTTCTGTATTTGCAAGGCGTATTCATGCATGCGTGTGTGGGTGCGTTCTCGCTTAGGCGGATTGTATTCTACGAGTCAATTCGGCCGAAAGCCTGCAATCAAGTGACTGGGATGTATATGGGAGGCGCTTAGGAGTCGCCTCCAACAAATAAGCTCCATGTCCGCTCTGGGAGAGCCTGGCAAGCTACCCGTGAGCATACCCACCCACCACGTTCAGAGCCCAGCAAGCTATACTTAGGTACCAAAAATGCTAAACACAGTAAAAAAAAACGGGCCTCATTCCCCTGACCCCGAAGGGGCCTCCCAATTTCGCAGCGTTGGGCAGGACGAGTACGGAGAGGCTGCTAAAATCTCAGGGCCAATGGAAGCCGCCTGGATTTCAAAGAACTATGGTGACGATATGTACCTACAATGCACGCGCACTTGCAACCGAATCCTCGATAGAAGACTTGATTATGTAAGCAAGAAGGATAAGGTAGGACGTCATCGACCTGGCCGAGATGAGAAGACGCCAGCATTTCAACGCCGTCTATGACACCGGAGAAGAACTGTTCCTCGAAACATGCGACAGTAGAGAAGTCGGCGGCCTCGGCGTTCTCGTCAACAGGAGTTTGTCCATGAACATCGATTCATTCGAGCAACTTACAACCCGAATCGGACGTTCACGATTAAAAAGACGTGGAACAATTCCGGCTTCGACAATCTTCTTCGTTTATGCGCCGACATCAAACTATGACGAAGAAGAAGTCGAAACGTTCTATATGGACTTGAAGAAATTCTACAGAGAAGACCACACATTCTTCAAGGTCATCATTGGCGATTTCAACGCGAAGATTGGACCAAGAAGAACGTCTGAAGAACGTCACATTGGGACCCACGGATTAGAACGGAACGAACAGGGTGAGCGGCTGTGTGAGTTTATCATGGCGACCAAGGTAATCTATGGTAACTCGCAATTCCAGAAGTCCCACCCTCAGCGCTGGACGTGGGAGTCTCCCAATGGAGTGTACTATAACGAAATAGACAACATCATAGTGAACAGAAGGTTTTGATTAACCGATGTCGCTGTTGTTCCAAAATTCTACACGGGATCGGACCATCGTCTCCTTCGTGCAAGATTCTATTTCTCGTGGAAAGGAGAAAAAGCCGCTAAATTCCCTTCACGTTAGCGCTATGAAAGCTAAGAGTTCGAAAGTCACCAAGAGACGTCTGTCTCCAGAAACTCTCGAGCTGATATGCCAGCGTGGAATCCCATGAGCTGCAGGCAACCGCAAACTAACGTCTGAACTTGCAAAATAGTGCAGAGGGGCGATAAAAGAAGATCATGAAGAGAGAATAGCAGCAGTAATGGTCGAAGCTGCAGAGGCTAGAAAAAGCGTACGCAAAGCCCACCGACGCCTCGCCAATTACAAGACCAAAATGATTGCATTCCGGCGCCCAGACGGAACAGTTATAGCGTCCAGAAAGGCAATGGAGAAAATCATTCACGAATACTACTCGGATCTCTTCGATAGCCACGTCCACCTTCCGTTATATGAAATAAAGGTGGATGGATATGTTGTACCACCGGTTCTCCCTTCCGAAATCCGACATGCCATTTCGCCGGTGAGAAATCGAACAGCACCAGGTCTGGACACTATAAGACCAGAACACCTGAAGAACCTTCCACCAGTCCTCGAAAACACACTGGCTCGGCTCTTCACACGTTACCTGTCTGAATGCAAGGTCCCTACTCAGTGAAAGACCAGCAAGACGTGTTATTGTTCAAGAAGGGTGACCTGCTCGATATCGGCGACTATCGCCCAATCCGCTTGCTGTCTGTCGTCTACAAACTTCACTCGAGTCATCCTAAACAGGATTGACAGAACACTGGATAAAGGACAGCCATGTGAGCAAGAAGGGTTTTGAACAGGATTTAGTACGACGGATCACGTCCACACGATAACAAGGCTCATTGAAGTATCGCGAGAGTACAAAAAACCGCTCTGTCTCACTTTCATCGATTTACAGAAGGCCTTTGATTCACTTGAGATAGAAGTCTTGGAAGCCCTTGATAGTCAAGGAGTCCTTACTCAGTACATAAAGAGTCTTCGTGAGCTGTACAAAAATGTAACAACCATATCACCATTCTACAACGATGTCAACATCGAAGTTAAAAGAGTAGTTAGGCAAGGCGATACCATCTCGCCAAAATTATTTACTGCCACCCTCCAGAACGTGATGCGAACATTGGAATGGGATAATATGGGAGTGAAAATCGATGCTCGGCCGTTAAATCATCTTCGCTTTGCTGGTGACATCGTCCTTATCACACCAAACATTAGCCAGCGGAACGAACGCTTGCCGACTTTGATAAAGGCTGTGGAAGGATTGGTCTCCGACTAAATCTCACAAAAACGGTGTTCATGAAGAAAGGTTTGGTTTCGTATGCCCCATTAACGCTCAACGGAACTATTACCTCCGAATGCTATCTATCTAGGTTGGGAAATCAACATGATGGACGACCTAGCCCCAGAGCTGAGCAGAAGGAAACGAGCGGCTTGGGGAGCTTTGAAGAGCATCGAGGACGTAGTGAAGAGAACAAAGAACACCCGACTCCATGTCTACCTTCTGGATTCAACGGTACTTCCTGCCCTAACGTATACGTCAGAAACCTGGCCGCTGCATAAGCAGGATGAAAGATCACTCAGCGTTATCGAACGCGGAGTCGAAAGGACGATGCTAAGAGTATCCCGTTTCACACATGTAAGGGATGAGATCCGAAGCTCAGACCTGCGTCAACGACCAAAAATCAAAGATGCCACTCTGTACGCCAAACAGCCGAAGATAAGTTGGGCCGGACACAATGCTTATGAATGACAACCGATGGGCAAAAGCCGTTAGTGACTGGATTCCTCGGAATGTTAAACGTACTGCAGGAAGACCACCGGCGCGATAGTCAGAGTTCTTCACAATGTGCCTTGAAGAAAGATATGATGCTCGACGAGTCCCTAAAGCAAGCAGAACCCACTGGGCTACTCTTGCACGCCACAGGGAAAAATGGAAGATTTACTGGCGCCCGCTCGAGTCACTCGACGATCAACGGGACTACAGTTGATATAGGTCATACTACATTAATTCTCTGTGTCAAAATGTTACGTACACAGTTAGAGAGTTAAACTTATTATATAAAGGATAAAAAAGGGTGAAGCTCTAGGCGATGATCAATGGCTAAGGGATGCGTCATGCATTCGACTTCATTAAATATCGTTGGAGGTGACTGAATGCATATCTGGCCTTTACAGTGACTCCAAATGAGCTATCGATGTTTCGAGCCAGTGCTGCTACCCTCCCAGACAAGCCTGGTACCAATTTGCCAACCCCGGAGGGAAGAATGGCTTGGTTAGCCACTGGCGCGAGGACGAACCCAAGTGTGTTCTGCAGGGTGCCTCTGACCACTGTGCCACACACGCCCTGCTCAGTATATAAAGCTATATATGGGATAAATATTATATACATGCCTGTATATAGATCTCTTTGCTTATTTATTGACATACAACTAGATAAGTAAAAATGAAGGCATCTCAATGTGAGACTTACGAAAATTTACAAATGTTAGGTTATACTTCCCATATACAGACAACACTTTTAAAAAAATGTTGAGGAAAAAAGTATCTTTCTGCTCCTCTTTTTGTAAGAACGAGATTTATCAATTAACTCATGCAATATAAATACTATAGTGCCACCATTTTTGATCTTAACGGCGATGAACTTCGTTTCCAATTATTCTCGAGTATCACACATCGATAGCGCAGAGGGTTGAGCAGTTAATCGTGTCACCTGAAACAGTGATGGGATTGAGGTAACCACAGTTTCTACGATTTCCGCCACTACTTTTATTAATTATCTAACACTCCAGTCTTCACTCTGTTCTACAGAACTCACAATACTGAGAAGCGTTGATGTCATTCTCACATTGTGCGGTGGACAGTTCACCGATTCAATACCTATCACACAGAATCCACCTCTGGTACGAAGTCTTCGCGGACATTATTTATTGTGGGTAAGAACAGAGAGGGCGTGTGTGGTGCAGTGGTCGGAGGCGTCGTAACACACACAAGGGGTCGATCCCCACGCTCTTGGTTAGCCATCCAGTCTAGTTCCTTAGAACTCAGTCTAATTAGTACGCTAAGTTCTCAAAAATTCAGGTACCTTGCTTATTGAATAAACACTAACAGTTTTCGAAAAGACGAGGATAATCGCGAATTTGTTAACTGCACATCGTTAGTCATTAATAAAAACAATAATGGTAGAGAGCGCGTGTAGCGGAGTGGTCGGAGGCGCCCTGCAACACACACGCGGAAACAATTCCAGCATCCGTGGCCCACCAAGCCTTCCATATCCCTGGGTCGGCGAATTGGTACCAGATTTGCCTGGAAGGATAGCAACACTGGCTCGATACATCGGTAGACCACCACGAATCACTGTTTAGGCAATATATGCATTCAATCACCTTTAACGATGTTTAGTGAAGTCGAACGCATGGTGCGCATCTCAGGGATTAACGCCGAGAGCTCTATCCATTTATTTATTTATGGTAGAGAAAGGCGAAAACGTGTTTGATCCCCAGCGAAGATACTTGCCGTCCAGAGTGTTGCAAATATGTCAGAACCGTAATGGCGGTTTTCTTTATTATGCCTTCAATAACACACCCAATTTGGTTTTCAAAGCAAACAAACCTTGAGGAAAAAACCATAAAAGAGGCTTATATCTGGAAGAAAAAGTTATGACAATCATACCTGTGCCTTTATTTTCGGCAATAACTGGTCCAGTAGACGACATTTTCCTGACTCAAGAGCTAAACCTTCATCAAGGAGATACTTCTTCGTACTGAAGAATTTTTCGCATAGTTTATGAATTTGAAAATCAGACTGAAAAGAGAGCTCCTCTGCTACATTTTCCCATCGCTTCTTCTCAAACGCCTTTTCCTAAAAGAGAACATACTGGTAATAGAACATTTTCATTCGAATAGGGTATGCTAATTCATGAAACATAGTAATATCACCATCGAATTACTTCAAGTTTACCATGACCGATTTGAAAAACATGATAATGACAAGTGGGGATTTGTATAGAAAAACAAAACGGTAAAAACGAGTATCTTGTACCGTGTCTTTCCAGCTGTCAGGAATTCTGTACTCATCAAAGAATTAATACCTTTGCACACAGAGTTTTCGCGACTTTGTCTACCAATGACTCCGTATAGTGAACCCTTCTTAGTAACGGGTGGTTTGCTGCTTGTCGCAAGTGCATAAGAGCTCCATATGCATTATTTGTATCGCTATCCATACCATGAACGCTAAAAGCGCTTGTGTAATCTACCTCAAAATGATTCTTAAGATAAGCACTAGTGAAGTAAAGATTATAGTGAACTGTTGCTCAACGACTAAGAAAATAGCGAACAACGGACTTCGAAAAAGTCAAAAAATCAACGTATTGAGAGACGGATGTTGGCTGTTAGGATATGTACGTATGAACAGGAACTTATACAGAGAATCAGACAAATCGTACCTGTCAAGCAATGTTTCGTACAATTCTTTTTGACTTTCCAACATCTCCACTTCTATTAGATTTTCATGTTTTTCTGGCAAATGACTTAACACCTAGTAAACAAAAAAAGATGCAAATAAAAATATTGACTAAGAACTCATCTGTAATCATAAAAACACAAAAATGACCTGAACTTTTAGCCTTCGTAACATATACGGTTGTAAAATTTGTTTAGCTTGTTCAATTCTATCTTTCTGATACATAGCGCTAGAAGCAGATTCCAATGCTGGACCATGCTATAACACTTTAACCGAATTTGATCCCAATTCCGATTAGGAACTGCCAATACCCCCATGAATGCAATTCTTTTAGTTGAATGACTTACCTGCTTAAAATGTTGGAGAAGTTGAGCAATATCATCACAGTATTTCGTGAAAATGTCAGTCATCACGAAATACATCAGTGATATCAATTCTATTAGATTATTCTGCAGAGGAGTTCCCGTCATTAAAATTTTATGTTTCCCCTGAAAATTCGCCGTTGTTGGGAGATCGAGATCGTAAATTACAAAATTACTCCCTATTTTAAAACTTTTCAAGAAACAAAACATCTTTGTAAGCATCTACCTTAACTTTCATGAGGTTACGATAACGATCCGTACTACAATTCCTGAGCATGTGGCCTTCATCATAAATTACATAGTTCAAACTGAAGTTCTTAAAAAACTTCTTATCGTCGTGTTTGGAAGAGATCATGTTGTATGTAGTGAGAATAACATCGGTCTGAATTAAGTACTATGACAAAAACTATAACATAGGGGATTCCACCACATGAATAACAAACGTTCTCTTTCCTCTTCTCGGCCATACGACGAAGTTGCTTGCGTTCCAACTGTTTGCCGTAGTACGTTAAAACCTATAGAAACTTCCTTTAAATAGAAACCAACTGAATAATGATTTCTAATCAACAGTGTGCAAACACCGCCAAAATGCATACACTGATCTTCGGGCACCACTTCGTGAACTCAGTCATCCAATTCTCTATGGTTGACGACGGCACCACGATAAGGTGTGGACCGCGGATTCCTGCCTCTTTCAGATATGCAATAAATGCGATTAACTGTACTGTTTTACCCAAACCCTGAAAAACTCATAAGGACACGGTAAAGAACACAGAAAATCACATTAAGTAGGGCAATTCACCATTTCATCACCAAGGATGCAATTGAAGCCTTTCTCATGCATCATTACAAGCCAATTCAGTCCAGTATTCTGATATTTATGCAGAGTGCACCTGATTGCGAAAATTACAAAGAAGAAAACAGCAATTAAAGTCAAAAACTAGAACGATTTTGAATTGAAGATAACTATAACCATTCAATCTAAATAGACATGTTACCTGCTTTCAAGCAGTTTCGGTTTTAGGTTGCGATGGGTACAATTTTCAAATTCAGCAGCCACAGTTAACGAATGATCCTTGCAGTCATCAAGAATTTTCTCCAAAATTCCACGATTCTCCAAGAATTCCATGTAGGAGTTCAGAACACCGGTACCTCGAGGAATTGTGGCAATCGCTGATTCCTGAATGCAAGAAATCACCTCGTAGATTATTAAGATAGTAACGAAAGTTTTACTAACCAATTTAGCGAATGTCTCAAATGGTCGTTCGCTTATAACCTTGGTAGCGATTCGGTCAGTTACTCGAGGGGTTGAAAGCAATTGTGGACGGCTAGCAGTGTTGAAGAAAATCAGACAATCACGCGCAACGGTGTCCAACACGTCGTTGTGCGGGTATCGTTCGTCTCCGTCCTATTCAAACATATTATGAAAAACACTGCTCCATAATTACTGGGAAGTATGAACAAATCTGTAATCCCTTCAGACGTTACATTGATGGTGATTAAAAGTTAATGTTTGAAGGACAACGTTGATAACATAACACAACATGATAAAACCACAAAACATGCTATAAAAAATATAAGCAACACAAGAAGTTGCGTTGAAGAAATTCACTCACATCACTTTCATCTGAAGCATCAGATTCATCACCAGATTCTGAGCCTTTTTCATCGCCATCGCATCGACACAACCTTTAATGACACAGCCATCGTTAACCTCTTTCTACACTCACGTACCCTTTAGCACGTCGACACAACACATTGTACGGTCATTATAAGTTGATGTCATCATAAGATTACTTGTACCTCTAAAATGCTAAACTCATGTACCGATCCTACTGTATTCCAGCACACACATGCATACCACATTACTTCATCAGCCTATGACAGAGTTACTCTCTCATTTCGAAACATCCTCATACCTATATCCTCACCTCCACTTATCTACTTTGTTACTACATTGTCGCTTGTATTACTCCGGTATTAGCATGAAAGGATAAAGCTCTCGGCGTCGATCAATCCCTGAGGGATGCGCCATGCATTCAACATCATTAAGTATCGCTGGACGTGGAGGTGATTGAATGCATATCTGGCCTTTGCAATGATTCGGGGTAGCCTACTGATGTATCGAGCCAGTGCTGCTATCCTCCCAGACAAGTCTGGTACCAAATTCCCGATTCCGGAGGGATGGAAAGCTTGGCGGGCCATGAGCGCAGGGATCGATTCAACGTGTGTGTTGCAGCGGCGCCTCCAACCGCTGGGCCACCTGCGCCCTTGGTATTAACATAAACGATACAAATTATGTGATACTACTAATTATATGATTATGATGATGTGATGTGAGCTTTCAAAGCTCTCCGAGGATTTCCTTCATATGAGGAATCTCAAGCCGGTTAGTCGCAAGGCTACGTGGCGCGTCCCCAGATGGCGCATAGAGGGTAAATCGCAGAAAAGAAGCAACATTTGCTTCCCTGAGACGCAGCTTGATCCAGGGAATGGACTCCCTGTTTCTACTACGGCGATTCTGCACCTAATTTCTGTATTTACGAGGTGTACTCATGCATGCGTGCGTGGATGAGTTCTCTTTGATGCGGATTATATTCTACGAGTCAATTCGGCCAAAAGCGTGCGACCAAAAGACGAAGAATTATAAGGGAGGCGGTTAGGACTCGCGTCCAACAAACAAACTCGCATGTCCACTCTAGGAGTGACTGGCAAGCTACCCGTGAGTATGCTTCCCCACGTTCAGCAAGTACGTGGATATCAAAAGCTAAACACAGTAAATTGAACGGGCCTCATTCCCCTGACCTCGAGAGAGCCTCCGATTCGGCAGTGTTGCGTTGAATAGACAAGGTTCACCATAATTCAGATAGGCCTTCCAATTTTCGACAGCCAAACGACGATAAATCATTGCATGCTTGAAATTAGTGAACCTCGAAGGATCGAATTGACTAGCGATCCATTCAGCCAAACACTTTCGTAGTCTCAGCTGGTATAACTTAACACATAAATCCTTATCACATAATAAACAGGTCCTTTTGAACACGCACTTTTTTTCTTTTCCTTTTTTATAAGCCTTCCAATTACTTGGTGTAAGCCGGCCAGACAGAGTCTCCCATGGGTAAGGAATGTGCCTGGAACATTCTTCGTATTTTTGTTGAGCAAACGCGAGGTGTTATTATTCTTTATTCACAAATGAGCTGACGTTTCGGCGGATTTCGCCTTCCTCAGAGCCTGGAAAGGTCAAGTTGACAGCAATCTACTTGGCCAGACGCCTCCATAACCAAACAAAGAAACTCTAAACCAAGATTTCAATCACATTGAACACAGCTTTGCACACTCACCGCTTTCTATGAGGTCTCCACTAAGTATGTCACGTAGAGACCAACCGCACAGAAATCACATGGAAGTATAATGTACCCCACTCATCAGAATAGCAGTCTTATATACTGCCCTACATCACGCGTGATAATGAGGCATTCTTCCCTGCGGTTCATTTTCGGATTTCTGGAATTAATCCAGAGTGCCTCGAGAGTTTTTCGCGCCTGTGTTCTTAATTCGCGTGCAAGGGTCGTGACACATACTTCAAAGTCGTCCCCGTTATGTCTCTGGGTCCGATGCGTGCCTAGCGGAGTATTTGGTCTATGTTTGCCGGCTAGGTGTTCTTTTATGCGGACACAGAGGGGTCTGCCCGTTTCGCCAATGTATTCGTCACCGCACGTCTTACAGG